TAAAAAAAAAAAAAAAAAAAGTAATAAAAATATTTAAAAGTGTCAGCAATAGGTCCCCAGCTCACATTAACTGCTTTCACCGTGGAGGATCATCCCTCTGCTGTGCTGCAGCCTTTGGTACCAGCCACAAATTGCAAGTCCCTTTTGTATCAGTGCTGGACCCGGGCGAATATTTTTCCCCCTGAACTATTTACATTAAACTTTACTTTTTTTAAGGAAATCATGTCCACTTTATTGGAAGCGTATCAACAGCCCCTAGCTGCTGGTGCTACTGCCTTTGCATCTGCAATATCCTTTCTTCTCCCCAGATTCAAAAGGCTGTTCATAATAGTAAGGCAAACGATGCATTATCCTGGAGGGGGTGAGGAGAGGGGCAAGAAAGAAATATAATCCATGGTACTAGAGTGATTAATGTGACTGTTTATGATGAAGGAAATGAAAACTAGAAATCTGGGTAAGTAGTGATCTTTCCAAGAGAATGACTTCCACTGAAACCACAATACAAACTCATATGCTGACCTCCTTTAAATTATTGCTGATGTTTACAGAGCAAATCAGGGATGGCACTGAAAACTTTACTCCCATGTTGTTTCCCAGGAGCACAGAATTTCCAGCAATAGCAGGAGGGGGGTTCACTGTGAGATGCTGTCACCTCTCTTTAAAATGTGAGATCCTTCGGTGATAGGTTTGAGTGAAAGGGCTTAAGAGGCACATTTAGCACTGTCCATTAAGCATGGTGAGCTGCAGAAAGTCTTCCCCTGCATACATCATCGCACACATTGATATGCAGGCTGAGTGTGCTCAGTGGGAGGAACAAGACTAACAGTATTTTTGATGAAGGTAAGAGCCTAATATTGCAGCTTTGGAAAGTTCAGTTATCCATCTGCCAGCCTATCCATCTTTGGCTATAGTACTTACCTGGCCTCAGTTATTGCAGTATGTAACTGCTTCACAACCACTAATGTATTTATCTTTTCATCCTCCCTGTGGAGTTGGGAAGTGCTATTACTTCTGTTGCAGAGCTAAGAACTGAGATTAAGGGTCAGATTTGTTATGGCATTTAGGTGCTCAATGGGATTTTCAAAAGTACGTAACACCCATTGTAATAAGTGGAACCTGGGTACTTTGATGGTTCTGAAAATCCTGTTACTTGTGTCTTTTAAAATTTTGGACTTACGTGACACCCTGGGATCCGTAAGAGAGGTTCCCATGTTGTGGGTAGTCTCTCTCTTCATGCTCCTACTAGGAGACTGTAGGTGACACAGGAGCAATTTTATGGCAGTAGCTTATGTCAGTCCTGAATTCAGCAACCTGTAGCTCTGTGGATAGCAGTGAATTTGCCCTCCTTGACCAGCTCTGTGAGAGAGGTCAGAATCTGGTCCTGGAAATATTGCAGTGAAAATAAGCAGCACCCATGGTCAATAAAAAGGGCTTATGTGCCGGTTGCTGGGATGGAAAATTCAAGAGCAGGAGCAAATAATGAAACAATCTATATTCATGCAGCCACCTTTCCAGCCTACTGCTGTAAGTACGGGCTTACACCTAACTGAGAGATGTGAATCCTGCTGAAAGCTCCAGAGTGTCACACTGGAAAACAAATGTTGATTTTGAACAAATTATCTCTTCATCGCTAAATCATTTTCTTTCATTATTAGTCTCCAAATTGGTTCTGCTCTGGAAGACAGAATTAGGTTTAAAAGCAGAGTGTCTCTTAAACACTTGCTTCAAATGAAAGTATTCGGTAAACATTACTCAAACCCCCTAGAGCATAAACTCCTCAACTGCTTTCTCTGGCTTTGCATAGATTTTTCAGCTCCTGGTTTCAAGACAGGTGTCTAAGGGATTCATTCAGGATACCAGAAAATAATCAAATTAAATCCCTTACAATCACATGCCCCTCAAATGCCAAGGAAAATTTTATTAAGACCTTTCTGTCCTCATTTACAGTAGCATAAACTGGGACAAAAGTCCCATGCAAACAGATGGAGTTACACCAACGTTGAACATGTAAGAAAGAAGAGTCAGACTTCAAACCCACGGCACAAGTACGAAACCATGTGGGCTGCAAGTCCAAGTTTCTCATCATTGTAAGAGATACACTTTGCTATTATAGTACTTACGCTCATTTCCATAGTTTTAAGGCTCTAAAAAAAGACCCCTAGGCTCCAAAATGATACTTTTAACATTAAAAGGATGGGGTTTGGTTTATTCATCATGTCAGCAAGATTGGAGGTGTCTGAACTAGTGATTTAGGATGACAGAGTGGGGGGGTCAGCTCAGCTGACTTTAAAAGCCACACATGGTGCTGCAGGGAGTGGGGTGGGTTATGGAGCACAAGCAAAGCTCCAGCATTGTGTGCTTGTCCCACATTACACCTTTGTGCCTCCATGAGGCAAGAAGCTCTGCAGGGATTAGGATGTGTCTAAAATTGCATGGTTTGTCATCAGTGTTTGTAAGATGCTGTTAGCCTGTCTGTAGGCTTTCATTGGATAGAGGAGGGACAACAACTTTGTTAGATATGAAAAGAGAATAAAACTGTGGGAGAATGTTATCTAATAGACTCCCAGGTAGTTCGTAGCTTAGTCAAAGCATGAATTTAGCTCAGTTTGATGTTATGGGGACCTGTGTGCACAGGGGAAGATACACAAGGGGAAGGTCCCTCGTGATTTCCCAGATCTCCAGTAAAGCACTGATGTGAAACTGGGAGGCTGCTCCCATACAGGGCAGGAATTGAGAGCTGCTGCTGCTGCAAATGAGTGTATTTGCACTGTGGTGTCCGAACACTGTTTTGCTCTTACAAGGTTTATTTCTCAGTGGGCAGAAGGGCTACAAGATTAACAGATGAACAAATATATTGAGACAGCCAAGACATCAAAGCAATTGAAGAGTCACTAAGATGTCGGAGACCAGAAGAGTCACCTGGCCGTGGTTCTTAGGAATTATTTTATCCTCAGATTGGCTCAGCTGCCTTGGGGTTTGGACACATCCTCTGGTGAATTTAGTACCGCGACTTAAGACAAGTGGCCCCAGCTCTCTGCTTCTGCTCCAGAGGATCCTGCCTGTGGAGCAGAGACGGCAGGAGGGAATGGTGCCTGCATCCCAGCCACTGCGGCTCAGATCCTGGGGGCTTAGTGCAAGCAGAGGGTCTTTAACTTTTCAGGGTAGACACCAGCCTGTGAGCTACACCACCAAGGATGAGAGTGTGCTCTACCCCTGCAGAAATCTCCAGGGAAAATGTGAATCAGACGGCGTGTTAAGCCACACAAATGAAAGCCACCGGAGTGCATGTGCCAGAGCCCTACAGCTGTGCACTGTGACTACTTTTACCATAAAGAAATTCTAAGAGATATTGGAAAGGCAGTTATTGCAATTGGAAGGTCAGAGGGAATCATATCCCAGGTAGCACTATTTAATGGCAATCACTCTTTGCAAGCTTCTTCTCCTCCGTGCAATCTGCAGTTCAATCAAGGGGGAAAAAAAAAAAGTGAGTAGTAGCATTCGTAACCTTAGGGTCCTTGTAAAGGAACCAGCCGAGGGGTGATACCAGTGGAGGGATCAGAAGAATGTTTATGCAAGATGTAGCTTCCCTGCAGAGAGCAAACAAAAAGCAGCTCAGAAAGACTGTGCAGAGGCTGCTAACCATGAGACCATGCTCATTCCTTGGGCTACGTATGCCTCAGTTCTTCACTGAAATTTAGATTTAGTTGAGTCAGCCAGGAAATTATGGATGAGTTTGAGGTCTTGAGGGAAGGGTGTTCAAAAAGCAGCAATATGAACACACCAACAAGAGGGAAAGTCATAACTTGAAAAGTGCTGTACAGAGGGAACTGTGCCTTTGCTTTATTGAACTGTTGGCTGCAATAAATACAGCTGAATTCCCTCAGTCTCCCATAATGTTGTCTCAGTACCAGCAGGAGTCTATTTAAGAATACACTTACTTGCACAAATGATTATATATGAAGAGCAGAGAAACAGCTGAAGTGCCACTGCAGTAATGCAAGCAAATCCTAAAAGCTGCCCGAGTAAGCTCGGCGGTTGTGTGCTACCCTGTGCTTTGGCTTTGTCAGTGCTGCCTGCCCAAAGCATTTGAAGCAGAGGAGCTTCTGTTCCAGTCAGCCTGCCTGCTTCACCTGGGGAGATCATAGTCTAGGTTTTGTGATGGTACAGTAAATAAATGGTGATAAAATCAACTAAGAGAATATTCCCAAAGAGGGAGAGCAGTTTTTTGTCATCATCTTCAATACAGAGAGTAATAAGAGACCGTATTACAAAGAAGAGGAGAGACAAGTATAATGCAAGACCTATGAATGGATAATCAGCAAGGAAGACTGAACCTTGAGCTTCTACATCTTACAGCATTAACCCCAATTGCCTGAACTAAAAGGTTTGGTTATTACTGGCAGTGCTGTTACAGGGTTGTCAGATACCTGTGCGGTGTATCCACAGTTAGGAGGGGCCGAAGCTCTGCAGAGGGGTCATGGCTGTGAGCAGTGTGGTGTGAGCACAGGACTGGAGACCAAGAATTCTGGGGTCTTCAGCCTGGTTGTTTTTACTGATTTCCTTATGTTCTTCAACCCTTCCAAACCTCACAGTATAGGGAATCAGGAAAACTAATTTGTTCCTGCTTGAACAGTGGTTTGAGGAAGAAAAGTGCTCGCACTGTCTGTATAGGTACACTGCTTTGCTAATATCCCCCATTAGCACTGATTAGTTAGAAATCTGTACTTGCATATGAACAGGTTGATCATGGGGGAAGCTTTATTGCAGCTTGCATCTTGACCCAGCATACCAAAGTTGACATGAAACGTTAGATTGGATTTGTGATGTGTTTTACCACATTGTGCATGAATTCTTTCCACTGACTAAACCAGGCGTCAATCTGAACATCAGTAGGTCCTAAGGTGCCGTGCAGTGGGCAGTCAGGCTGTGCAAGATGACAGCCTGAGATGGAGCATGAATATTCAACGCACCACGCTCTGCAACTCCCCTTTCTGTTACAGACTGGAGTCACCTACGCGCGCACTGGTGATGGAGGCTCCAAAAGGCATCGAGATCAACGCTGAGGCCGGCAGCTTGAAAGCCACGTGCAGGACAGAGCTCAGGCTGGAATCCAAAGATGGAGAGGTAAGCAAAGGACGTCAAGTCCTGCAACAAAAACAAACCAAGCCACAGATCTCCTGCAGATTTGTAGTCTTCTGAGTCAGTGAGCCACTGCGTTTGAAACACCGGTGTGAAGACGCTGGTGCAGCAGGCACTTCCTAGCTTAGTTTCTGCTAGCAGTGATTGAACGTATCATATGCAAACGAACCTCACTCGGAGCAAAGGCTGATTCATTATTTTTAAAGTGCTTGGATAATAGCATCTGTTGTTCAAGCAGATTTATGTGGCTGTAAAATACACAGTGCTACTAAATTCTTTGTTTCCTTGTCACTTTTAAACAAGATTTACTTGGCCAACATAATTAAACCTTTTATCATACATTTTTCTATAAGAAGAGCTTAATTCACCATTATTGATCTGAAAAGCTTTAGTAGCTGATGTTTTCATTTTGGAAAGAAAGGGAACATTAGGAGACATGGGTTGTTGCAATGGGGAAACTTCCAAAGAGGAAGAGAGAATAACTAAAACTGATAACATAGAACAAAAGGAAAATAGGTGTTGTTAAGCCTTTTCTTGTGTCTCAAAAATACATGGGCACATGGTTCTCATTCCCTCCTCCTGCCACAGTGTTGGAAGACACCAAAGGATGTGGCTGAGGAGCTCCCACTGGGGAACCCACCGAGAGGCTCAGCAGGAGGAGCTTCCCGTTGAACACAAACCTCCCGGCAACAGGGCCCCAACATAAGCTAGCGTTTTCCTATCTTAGTGTCAGGTGCAATAAATAGAAGGAGATTTTTACTGCAATTCTTGTTATTTCTAAATATTTGCATTTTAAGACATTCCAAACCCAGACTACGGTGTTAACAAAAAACCTCTTAAAAATACAAAAACCCTACGTAATATACTACAATTGAAACCCAAGGCATTTCACTGCTACAAGCAGTTGCCTTAATGTTTTTAACACTGAGTTGCTTTTAAAATGTGTATATTGACCTGGGTCTTTCAGGAGATTAGATGGTTGGATACTAAAACTGAAGACTCTTATTGTAATTGCAAGATAAGAACAAATACTGTCAGTCACCCTGTAATATTCTGATGTGCAGGTTGTCTTACTGTGCTCTTCTCAGTGATGTTAGAGCACTCCCCTCTAGCTGCTATGTGTCTAAAAGCTGCCACATGTTCACTTTTATGTCCTGTTTTATAAGGAGAAATTCACATCTGTTACAGCATTCAAGTTATTTTTAATACACATAAAAGTGTTACAGGTATACATAAAATATACATAAAAGTCAGTGCTGTGAGTCTGCAAATGTAACTGGCAATGGGATCACAGTGCCAGAAGTCCCTGTGGAGGAGCAGAGCTGTGTGGACGTGACCCATACATGCTCCCCACCTGGCAGTGGGGTACCTCTGGGTGGGTTAACCCAAACGCAGAGGTGCCCCGGGAAGCTGCGAGCCAAGAAACCACAGTGGGTAGATGAGCAGAAACAAAGCGGAGGCCGTAGGTAGCTCATGGTAAAAGCAGGTAATATGGTCACCCAGATTTATATCACTTTCCCATCTTAGCACATTTGCCTACCCGGCTTTTGTAGCAGCTGAATTGTCTGACGGAAGCTTCTCTAAACACGGGATCAAAAATAACAGCTCTCCACTAATTCTCTCTCTCTTTCTTTCTCCCCGCCTCCAACTTTAGATAACGTTGAATTCTGCAAAAATCAAACTACCTAATTTGCCTCAAGGATCTTCCTCTTCTACAGGGTCCAGGCAAAAAATCTACGAGCTCTGTGTGTGTCCCAACGGGAGGTTATTTCTATCTCAGGCAGGCACTAGCTCGACCTGCCAGATAAATACAAGCGTCTGCCTTTGAGAGACAGTTTGCAGAGGGGCATCGCAGGCAGCACAAAAGCCAGTTCTGGTCTCACAGATTGCAGCTGCCAACTATTTTTACTAGAACACAGAAAGCCTATCAAAGACTTTTTTTGTGTGTGCGCGCGCGTGTGTGTGAATATATATATAAAAATATATATATAAAAAATATATATATCCTCTGTGTAAAATGATGTTTCAGTACAAGGAATCCCAGGGTGACCCTGTTACATTTGTGTAGCATTTCTCTTTCCCACACCAAAATTTACTGGTACAATCTGCTGAATTGGATTTGATGCTCCCCTGGACCCTTCTGTATTTATATAGTCTAATGATCACCCCTCGTTTTTGATCATGTTCTCGGAGCAATAGGATTGCTGGCTGGGCAAGACCTTGGAACTGATGTAGACCCACCAACATACAAAGGGAAGTGAAGCATCTCTGATTATTTTTGCACCATTAAATCAGTGTCATTAAAAAAAGTAAATTTAAAAAAAAAAAAACAAAACAAACCAACACAAAACCAACAACTGTTCACCTAGAGTGATCCAAGATACCGGAGGTTAAATTACAGTCTTTAATTTTGACCTGAAGCATGGCTCTCTGTTGGGAAATATGGATTGAGCTTGGCCAGTAGAAAAGTCCAGATCTTCTTGCCAGAATTATGTATTTTTCTGAAGGGGTTTGAGACTTGCCTGTGCATGGCCAAGAACGCCTTGTGCTCTTTGGGTGTGATGCATCAGCTCTGACCCTAACCTAAAGTCATTGCTATGCTAAAAAAACCCTGGTGTTGTATTTAGTTCTTGGAAGGACAAAAATTGTGACAGTTGGACTAAGTAAAAAAATCCTGAACTTTCTTCAGTTGTCCTGGATCACCCTACACACTCTCCATTAGCACCTTTAACTTTGAAAATATTTGTTGTGGTGAAGGTATGAAGATTTAAGATTTGGACATTGCTTATCAATACCTGTAGAAACAGAGAAAATCACTTGTTCTACCCATAGAAACAGAGAAATTCATACAAATTAGTTGTGTAATGTAGATGCTATGCCAGAATTTTTATTACTTTTTTCAGAGTATAAAATCCAAGGTCACTTAGATTTGGTGGAGAATGCAAATATCAGAGATGCTGACAATTAAACACACTTTTTTGAGAGTTTGTAAAGGTTGTGATAAAGCCAGATGATAAGAAAGCAAGGGCTTTGGATGCTGGTTCCTCTAGAATCTAAACCCCAACTTTTCATGGTTGCATTTTTCCTTATTTTAAAGCCTAGAAGTCACTTATGGGCAGGATAAAACACGAAATCTGGTCTGGTAACATTACTTCTGCTGTTCAAGATTTGAAAAAGAACGAGAAGAGCCCAGATCATTGAATTCTGACCCATAATTGCATCCACATGCATGTAAAAATCCTTGAAAAACAAATATACTAATTACTGCAAAAGTATCCAAATTGCAGTAAACCTCACGAGGACAGCAAGGTTTCTAAGCCACTGAGATGCTTTTGAAAATATTACCTCATGCAAATATGACAGATCTGTGCCCATCCCCAGTGATAACTAAGCAAAGCCGGTATTCTTCAAGTGATCTTCAAGATAAAATGTAGCTGACGGAATTATTTAGAAATAATTTAGCCCATTCTTTTTTTTTCCATGTATTTTCTTGTGGTCTGGAGAGTACCAGGGTTTAATTTTTTTCTTTTAAATGAACAAATCTGGCTTAATCCAAAAGTGACTGGACTCAGAGGAGAGCTTTCTACGGAGTTTAGATTAAATGTGTTGCTGCCTAAGAAAGCAGCACTCCCATAAAATTTATTTCTGAAAGAGGATTGAAAGATCTGCTTTTATTTCAGTAATGCTTTCTGATTAATTAATGAATTCAAACTATTTGTTAATTAATTATTCCTGTAATTATTATGTCTTGAGTCAACGTTTGAATGCAAAGGGTCACCCAGGATAACAATTGTATTGGGACACAGGACTTATACCATCTCTGTTCAAAGAGGGGATTTGTGCCTATGCCTTAAGTCAATGCACTCAGCAAGGAGAAGCACATCATATTTATCTTGTTATTAAAACTAGTTTATTTGGGGGGGTGGGGGGG